CTTCAATTTTGGAAGAAGAGTGCATTATGAAATTCAAATCTGTGGATGACATACAGTTACATAGGTTGAACACACTATGAAGAAAAGATAATGGACTTCATACCAAGCTGGATGAATGGGTAATAAGAAGTAGGTTCAAATTCTGTATAAACGTTTGCAAGGTAATGCACATTAGAGGTAAAAATAACTGAACTGGAGTCTATACCTTCATACTATAAAATTAACTGTGCATTTAAGAAAAATAAGCTAGGTGAAGACTTATGCTTAATGCACATCTATAATCAATAAGATACAAAGATTACAGGCAGTATGTAGAATGACATGAGCAACTTTAAAATGCAATTGTATAAATGCATAGTGATACTTCATGACAAACACTGAACAGTAGTACTTGTCAAGCCATTTTAAAATGATATATTGCAATAGTAGAAATAGTTCAGGAGAAAAATAAAAAGAACAAGAAATTAGTGGCGGAGAGAGACTGAAGAGACAGTTCTTTTCTGAATGAGGCATTAGATGGAATGGGGGCACAATAAAAGTATAAAAAAAAAAAGTTAGGTGGGGAAGGTATAATAAGTTATACCTACTTTCCTACCTCAGTGAGGAAAGAATACTGAACTTTAAGGAGATGGTCAATGAAATTTACAAGAGCCCTACTTTAAAATATTAAATGAAAGAACCTTCTCATGTATATTATGGAATTAACTGCTAAAGAAATCAGGCTATGCTAATAACTTTGATAGACTTAGTGGGCTTTGATATTTAAGAAGAAAAGTTATAATAACTAAGGCTAAAACTCTTTGTAGATTCTAAACTGTCAGGATGCATCTTAAACCAAGGTCATATTATTTAAGATTAGGAGAAAGTCTTTTTAGGGATCTTCTTCTTTATTCACTGAGGCTTCTGATCCTGACAACTGTCAGAAAAAGGACACAGGAAAAAAGGCCATGATTTCAATCCATCAAGGCAATCCTTACACTTCTATATTACTATATAACATCTTACAAAAAGGGATACTGAAGAGATAAGGCAAACTCAGTACTGATGGCAACTAGTTAAACACTATGTTAACTCTAGTTTTTAATTTCAAGTGATATGCAAATTTACTGTAACTGTTCCACAGTTACAATCAAGAGTAGTAAAAACCACAAACAGAAATGTCCATTTTTTTGCATTCAGTTTTGCAGTACTAGCCGAACTCTCCAAACTCCTCGTTTTATTATTGGTGCTGATTTGTCTGGATATCAAGACAAATTAGTCAGTTTGAATTATGGAGATCTGTTGAGAGCTTTTGATTTAGGACAGAGCCAATTATTGCTGAGTATACCGCTCCAGTTCCGACAAGAGGGTTAAGTGCCTTGATTCGTATTTGCATTCATAGAGAGCTCATACACACAAAAGTAAGTAATTGAGATTGTCTAGCAGAAGCAGGGAGAAAAGGATACACGTCTCCCAGATTTGCGAACTACTTATCAGATGAAGCAAATTCCCAATGCACGTACAAATGAGCACAAGCAATGTAAAGATTGTCCTACTGCTCTTTTGTGCAAATTGTTATTTCACTGCCTGAGACTTTAGAATTTCACAGGCCTGTTTTTCATTAGATTGGTCAGAGATGTATACAGATTTAATAAATCTCAGTGTACATGACTCCTAATATAAATAAATCCTTATGTATTAAAATGAAAATTGCTAATTATGTTATTAATTGGAACACTTCCACTTCTGCTCTTTTGAAAAGGATGCACAGCATACCTATGAAATTGAGGACTGATTTGGAGACAGAGAGAGTGGAAGATAAAATGGAATTTACTGTATTTTTAAATAGTAAAAGTAAATTCAACTGATTGTATGGGCCTTTTTTTTTTTTTAATTTCATTAAGATTGTCTCACAATACAATAATTATTATTGATATTATAATTATTTTTTTTCTTATGTATGTGTTGATTCTTTTCTTTCCTGAAGTATATTACAGTATTTACCGGCACAGTTTAAGTAACAACTGTAAATCATGCCATAATTCATTTTAAAAAGTTTTTTTTTTTCTCCATAGCTAACCCTATTGATCAGCTTTTCATTAATTCAGCTCAGATCTATTTCAAATTGTTCTCCATAAATACCAAATTTTGCAAGGGTTGATAGAAAAGACTCCAGCCAATCAAAGCTCCTCAGGAAAGCGCATTCCTTCTGCTTGTGTCTTCTTTTCTCTTCCTCATCATTTATTCTGTGTCTCATGTCTGACATTCTGCAATGCAAATACTTTTTAGAGCTTCTAAAATACCTCAGGCTTAGCCTACAGCTACAAATATGTAACCATATGGTTTCTTAATTGCATAAAGCAATATGCAAGGCCTAAGTGCTAACGTTTAAGACACATTTTCTCTCAGGTGTTAGGCTCTGTAGCCCAAGGAGACCCGTCTGATAGTTTGTAACCTCACAGCTTTGGCATTGCTTGCTTTGCTTGTGTAGCAATTCCCTTGTAATTAACTCCCTGAAAATCTAAGGGTCACTTCTCAGAAAAATACCTACAGACTGATGAAAGCTATGGACCCTTTTCACTTGAAAACCTCACTATACTGTTATTGCTTGCTATATATCTCTCTACCTTTTTTCCCTTCTGCAGTTTTGCAGATGATACAAAACTGGGGGGAGCGGCTGATATATCAGAGGGCTGTGCTGCCATTCAGAGGGACCTTGACAGGCTGGAGAGGTGGGCAGAGAGGAACCTCATGTAGTGCAACAAAAGCAAGTGCAGGGTCCTGCACCTGGGGAGGGATAACCCCAGGCACCAGTACAGGCTGGGGGCTGACCTGCTGGAAAGCAGCTTTGAAGAAGAAAGAGGACCTAGGGTGTTGGTGGACACCAAGTTGACCATGAGCCAGCAATGTACCCTTGCAGCAAAGAAGGCCACAAACATCCTAGGATGCATTATGAAGCGCAACACCAGCAATTCGAGAGAAGTGATCCTTCCCTTCTGCTTAGAAGGTGAGGTCCTTCCCTTCTCACCTTAGAAGGTGAGGTCATATCTGGAGTGTTGTGTCCACTGTTGGGCTGTGTGCAGGCTGGAGAAGAGAGGGCTCAGGGGAGATCTCACAAATGACTATAAATATCTCTTTGGTGAGGATAAAACGACAGAGCCAAACTCTCCTCAGGGGGATCCAGTGAATGGACAAGAAGCAACAGGCACAAACGGAAGTACAAGAAATTTGAAATAAACATAAGAAAAAACTTTTTAATTTGAGAGTAGTCAAACACTGGAATGGGTTGCCCAGAGAGCTTGTAGAATCTCCAACTCTGGAGCTATTCAAAACCTGACTGGACACAGCCCTAAGTAACCTGCTCTAGCTGGCCCTGCTTTGAGTAGAGGAGTTTGACTAGATGATCTCCAGAGGTACCTTCTGACCTCACCTATTCTGTGATTCTGCAATAGGCTTTTTCTTTCTTTCTTTCTTTCTTTTTTTTTTTGAAATTATACCTAAAGAAATTTTGCTTCTTTTTCTAAACAACTAAAAGTTGGAAGTTTGGTAAATGACTTTACAAAAATTGTTGGGTTTCTTAGGTTTTGTCCCATGAAATATTAGGAAAAAAGAAATTACACAATCACTTCCTGGTCACAGAACGAAAGAAACGTTATCTCTAGTAAAAGGCAAGAATATTCACTGCATTACCAAAAATATTAAAACCAAGCATTCCTTTCCTATTTCAATAAGATTGAAGGTTATTAAGAGCATTTTGAGGTTCATTTTCCAGATGCTGTATGCTCACGCTGGGCACTTTTCCACACTCAAAAACAGTCTTCTGTAGTTTGTCGCAGTGAACTCTTTATTTTGTATTTGACAGTGTTGTCTCTCTGTCTTTTATTATGAGCAGTCCATGACTGAATGTTGTAACTATGCTATCAAACAGAATTCCTCAGTCTCCACATCTGTCATTCTTTCATCCCATTAATATCTCTTCTTGTTTTACTGTTCTCAAAAATATGTTCTTGTCAACAATTATGGTCATTTCTATCTTGGAACCACGTTCTCAAAGGTATCCAATATTACATATTATGTTTACAGTCCCGCTAACTTAAAGGACCATAACACCAGGGATTGTGTATGGGTATGGACAAAATGAGAAAGGTTATTTATAAGCTAGAATTTTTTTTCTACAAGATCACCATTCTGCAATAAAACAATATCTTTCGATGTTATCATTCAACAACATTTATCAGATATAAAGTGTTAAAATAAGGTAGACTTTAAACATGTTTGAAGCCTCCACAGAATAATCAGAATTTGGAGTATTAATTTTCTTATGACCTGCACTGAAGGAAAACAACTAAACTATCTCCTTTTAACTAAAGTCTCCCCATCTTCAAATCAGTCTTCTATTTAATTGGTTTGCTACACATCATTTTGGAAACTGTCTGTCCAGCTCACACTCTTCTACTTCAAAACCCGTCCTCTTCTGGCTGTTGTGGTGCTTGCCCATCCCAGACTCAATCCAATTCTTCATTTTTCTTCTTCAATTTAACTTTTCTTTTCTGCATCTTTTATAAAGAATACACTGGACTCTGTCATTGCTTCTGCTGTCTTCTCTCTTTACACGCTCTCTTTGTGTGATCCCAATCACTCCACAGTATTTAGCTCCCTTTGATGACTGCTGATAACTCACGAACTCACAAACTTTCTATTTTTCCTTTTTATTCTATTATCCAGTCGTGATATTAAAGTACTATGAACTAACATCTTTGCAAAGCTGGAACTCTAGTCAGTTTAACAGTATTCTTTTTAGTGTTAAAACCCAACAAAGGTCTAGTGAATGCCTACTCTGGTTGAGTTAGTACACCTGACAAGAAAGCCTTTGGCTCTGTTTAGATGTAGAATGACAGTCATGAGAAGCTTACTATTAAAAAACAGAGTTTGCAATTTTTTAGCCACAAACTATATTAAAATTTGCAGTAAAAATAAGTATTTTCTGGTATACATTTTAAAAATAGGCAGAGAATATTCACCTTTATAAATGCCGTTATACCCTCCATGGACTTCTCCAGAACTAGAGATTTCTTCAATGTGAGCCCCTTGGTCAGACGTAAAGTATACAAGAGTTTTATTGCTCAGTTTACTTTTCTCCAAAACATCCAGAATCTGTCCTAAAAAAAAAAAGAAAAAAGAAAAAAAAAAAAAGAAAAAGCATAGCTTTAATGTCTTTGGGTGGCTTCTCTGGGTAACTGCGGTACGTACAAATATCTTTTGTCCTCGTGCCTTTTTAGTTTAAACCAATATATTATTATACATAGCAAGTGGCAGCATGCAACATACAGTATGGGACAACCGCACAAAGTCTGTTGCAGCCAAGACTATGGTTCCATTGCTGCGGGGTTTCCGGAAGTATAAAATGAGAAGATTTGTGCACATCAGAGAAAAGAGCTGATCCACACAGAGCCAGTGACCTTTGGAAGCAGTTGTTCTCAATCAAGGGAACCCCACAGCAAGAAGATTCAAACTGTTGAGCACATGTGAAAGAGTCACAGTATGCAGAACAGAGGCGGGGGTGAAGCTGGGGGGTAAAGCTTTGCTGCCTAGCAACCTATAGAGGCGGCATGGCAAATATCTCAGTGTAAATGCTAGAATAGATATTCCAAAAGACAAGTGAATTAATATATGCAGTGCCTCCGGAAGCCTCGCGGTTTCATTATCTAACCTAGTAATCAGTCACTAATTTCTGGTCATATACGAATAGATGCCCACTAAGCTCAAAATGTACAAAATAAACACACACATGTGTGCATATTTCAAAGAAGACTCCATATGGATATGGTGTGAGATTCCAAGGCATGGTGGGCTCGCATTTCATTTACACAAAAGGCTCCTTACACTACTTTGGCACTGTAGAGGAGCCTTGCAGTGCACATAAATTACTTTTAAACCTATTTAGAGTGTCCGAGTTCTTTTAAGAGGGCTTCTGTATGAATGAGAGTAAAGCCACTCTTTGTAACTCGCTCCAATGAATTTTATACTGATTAGGAATGTCAATTATTGGTCCTGGAAAATGACCAAAATATAAGAATATACTCCGTATCACCTTGTAAATGAGCTTTAACCTTGTCCTTCAGATATCCCAGAGTGTATACAGATAATTCTGTCTTCACAACCATTTTCTCCTTATCCTTTTTACTTAAACATCCAAGAATGGTCCAATTTGAATGTTAATTTTGATTTGCTCATATGTCCACTAAGAATTAATTAGTGTGTGATACATAATTACTGATAAGAACTTAGAACTACAAAGCTTGTTTCATACAGAAGTAGCCTTCTTCAACTATTTTCAGACCATCATTTTGATGTTGCTCCTCTTCTGGATAAGGAGTAGTTATCTCACCCCATTTCTAATCACTTGTCTACTAATGCTATAGTATCCTAAAATTGCCTTTCTACAAAAAAGGTTGACTGCCTTCATTTCTTATCAGCGCAAATGACTGGGCCCTCAATAAAGGAACGTCTGCAGTTAAATAAGTGATACTTATTGTTATTGTTTGTAAACTAGGAGCAAAGAAGAAATTTAAGAGTAGGAGAATTTGTTTATGTAACTTTTGAAACCTTGTGGGAGTTGAAATTTCCCAACAGAGTTGAGGAAAATCTGTTTCAAAGGCTGACATTTTAAAGCTGGTGGGTTTGAGGGAAATTTGGGTAACAGCTCATGCATATCCATCTGACAAGTCATTTGCTTGCTGTAGCAGATGGACTAAGTGCCAGAAAAGAAAGAGGCAATTCGTCACTGATTTCTGAAATTGTTTGGACGTTGTACTTTTGTACTTCCTAAGTGGTTATGATGTCACTTGGGAAGGTAGCATTAATGAGAAAAAAGTAGTGCATAGTGTTAAGTTAGGACATTACATGCAGGTATTGGGCTATATAACCTCCAGAATTCCCTTTCAAAGTATATAATTTTCTGATTTCATGATGCTATGATGATAAAATAAATGAGATTGTACAAAGAAATAAATGTGTAATGACATGCACAAATAAATTTTTTATCTGTACAGTTTTAATTGAAGAACCTGGATTTTTTAGTTCATCCAGAATATAAAATAAAATGAAAATGAAACAAGAATTCCACTCAAATTACATTATATTAAAATAAACATATGATAAAAGGCTACTCAATGTCTCTGGTGATCAGGGAAATCTGATGTCATTCAATAATGGCCATTTTGATTTCCTAATTAATCTAGGAAAAATGAGAGGCAATGAAAAATGTCTCACTATCACAATTAATTAAATAAAATAGTCATTATCTTTTTTTCTTAACAAAACGAAGTTGAGTAGCTTGACTTGGGCTGAAAAAAGAATGAATAATTCTAACGCTCAACGGGTATCTATTTCAGAAAAAAATGCAGAGACAATCTCATCTAAAGGTTGTTGATTTCAGTGGCACAATTTCCATTTACTTCATGTGTGTTTTTTTTTAACAGAAGGTGATTCAGCTATGTTAGAGTTAATTAATAAATATTAAAATGATAACTTATTTTAGTAACAATATTTTTCAGTAAAGATGACTAATAGTGGTAATTCAAATAACACACACTGCTATCAGAGAATGGACATACAATGAACTCACAGAAATGAAGTAAAACTTCCATTTCTGTTTTCATCTTGAACACTAACATCTTTTAGAATGAACACTTTTTAAATAAGCACTAAAGTGTGTGCTACCCTGAGATAAGACTCATTAAAGTGCATTTGAATGATGTGGTTATCATTGACACAAGCAATATATTAACCTATCAGCATTTCTAAATGCTAACCAAAACAGAATAAAAATACAAAGCACGTATTGTGAATCTCTGTGAATAGATAGGTCTCATACATAGAGTATTATATCAATTTTGGAAAACTACAAAATACTACAAAACCAGCAAAATACTTCTTTTACCATTTTCTTATAATATTTTAAACTTCTTTTTGACCCTAACTCTTCCATTATTGTTATTTCTACAGATTTCTGTGAGACTTCAGAATTAAGCTGTCTGATGTATAACCGGTCCTAGGAAATGTTAGTCAATGAACAAGGAGATTTATCTAACCTACTGTAGCTATCCACCCTTGGATGAGGTGAATCACAACTGTGAAATGGCCTTTTTTCCTCTGTTGCTAAAAAAAGGGAAGATGGGCAACTGGCTCAAAAATAAATACCTTTATATTAGACATCAGAGAAGGTAAGGTGAGTGCCACCCAAAGTGCTGGAAATGCAATTGCGTGAGCTTTAGCTCATGCTAATAGTGTTGAAAAATGACGTCTCAGTAAGAGAAGAGGGTAAAACTGTATTGCTTCAACCAAAAAATATGACTGGAAGTGTATTATACATTGTGTGCTCTTGAATTACAAGAATAGGGCTTCAGCTGGCTTAGCCTTCCCTTTAAAACCATTTCTGGTTGCAGAGAGCAATAAAAAATTAAAAGAATTTTGTGGAAGCAAAGAGCTTACACAGCTTAGCAAACTGTAGGAGGAAAAAGCCAAAACACTAGGAAAATTATAGGTCTGTTAAAGCAATAATGGTTTGTTATCCTCAACGTCTGAAATTATTAATAAAATGGAAGGGGTCTTGATTGCAAAGACTCACTTTAAACTTATATTCTAAAAAAGTAACAGCTCTACTAATTTCTGTGGATACCACTGCTCACATACTTTTTATGATTTAAGCAAAAAAGATTTTGAAAGTTAACGTTCTGAACAGCAAAGTCAATTCAACACTGAAAGAGCTATACAATCTCTGAAACTATTGAGCAATTAAAATTTCAGATTAAATTTCTCCTAATATTGCCATTCTAGGAAGGTATACCCAACCAAGCCCAAACTTACGTGGCTAACATTGCAGAAGACAAAGGAATTAGATCACTGGATGCTTTTTTTTCATTTGCATTTTTAAAAATATAAAATATATTAATGAGAGCATTAGGATGTTGATCATTTTATTTAATAAAACAATGTTTCAAAACTTAGGCAAAGCTTCCTCCAAAACATGCAGCTCCCTACGTTCTGCTGTCCACTCTTCCTTCAAGGTATGTTGAATTATACAGAGTTTGTTCTTTCTTAAAGTGATGGTACCAATTTCTACGGAGCGAAAGCCATGGGAAACTGATGAGCCATTGATTGTACTCTTTAGGAGGAAACAGAGAGCACCATGACATTGTTCAGCTTGCCTAACACTATATAAATGCTAGCTGAACAAGCCTCTCTAGTGCTGAACATAATTTCTGGGGTTTTGAACTACATAAAACTCCTACTATATTTATCCAGCTTAGGATATAAGGATTATAAATGATGAAAATTCATTTGAGAAAACAATGTACAAACATAGAAAAACAATGAAGTGTTTACAAATTTGTTAGTGACTTGGAAATCTGTTCAAAGATTTAAGCAAGCAAGCATATGAAATAATGTTTTTGCTTAATAAATTAGCTTACTGTCATTTGAAATCAATAAGAGAGAAGTGTTAAATGTATTAACTTGAAATAATTTAGAGTCTTGCTGAAATTATGAGAAAAAAGCTCTAGAACCTAGAAAACCTCTGTCTAATCTAGGCAGTAGGACAAAATAGTCTCTATACTCTCACTCAGGACAACTATATAGCAGTTTGTGTGATTCAAAGAAACAACAGTATACCGAAGGAGGGCTAAGGATCAGTTCTAACAGAACGTCTCAGGACATGACAGTTGATGACAAAGGGAGTTCCAGAAAACATAACATTCTTATCCTATTCCAGCAGCCTTTCACATGACACTATTGTACCTGGAGGATTACAGGAATCCTGAGACAATTAGGAGACAAAGAGTAATTTGGGAAGACCAGTGATGAGATCTCTAGCTGCCTAGTGGTGACATAATATTTTGGTTAACCTCTCTGTTTCAGAACTGCCTGATGATACTAATATCTGCTTTTGGGTAGCACTGCTAACCAGAATAACAATTAACTTGTCATTGACTGAAGGGGCTTAGTTCCGACACTGGCAAGCTAGGAATGTTATGAATATGTGCATAAACTTCCAGAAATTATTTGTGCATGCATAATCATCTGGAAGCCCATATTCCGCACAGAAAAGACAATGATGCCATTCAACTATATAGACACTACCTAGTAAATCCCTTGGAAC